CTGAAAATCAAATCGTAGAAGCCCTATCAAAGTAAAAAAAAAGGCTTTATTGAATACAGTAACCAATAAAGTACATAATCTGGGTACAAGCACCATCACACACCAAGACACCTCTTCCACTGGGCAGGTGCAGTAGCAAAGTGTATGCTCACAATATATACAGACTGAGGTACCAATAAACACACATTGACTGATTCAAGGTCACTGATCCAAGGACTGATTCACACACCCCCTTTCTTGTCCAAAGCCATCTCATCTAGAAACATAATTTTGGTGGGCTAATTTGATGCATTTCCTTTTTTTATCTTGCTAACGTTTGTTTGTGCAGTATTAAAACAAACATGCTGGAACTCCTTGAGGGTGTACTGACAATTCTGTCTTCTAGTTAACTGCACAGGAAGTCCCAGTGCTGCCAATCTGTAGTAACTGCAAGGCTTAAAATTAACCTTAAAGACTGGATTTGCACAAGCAAACAGAGACTTTCTCCCATGATCTTCTGTGGGGACAGCAGTAAGTATGTGCATCAGACAACGTTTGGTTCATGCTGGAACTGCTGCTAGAAAGCTGGTCAACAGGTCTCTGTCCACAAAACTCCGAGGAAGACCCTAGCTGCAATCTGAATTTTGTACACAGAGACTACAATATTGCAGTCATTGTTTAAAAATAAATAAATAAAATCCAAGCACGTATTTGGTTGAAATGCCCTTTATCCATTCTCAAAGTAAACAAATGAAAAAAACTAACATAGTTGGCATTTGTAAAAATGGACTAGCAATCAACTAGAGAGACTATTTTAAAATTACTTGGTGACGATTGCCCATAAAATAGTATATAGTATCGGCAAGTTCCTGTCTCATTTTTCTCCAGCAAAAAGCTGCAGATAATGTATATAGGGAAAATTTATGGGATTCAGCTCTTCTATAAAGCTGAACGACTACTAGTGTTCCATGCTACTAAGGCATACTTTACAGTACTTTAGATGGAAGGATGCAGGACTATCCATATTCCACATACCCCCCAAAATTAATGCAAACCTAGGAACATCCACAAAACTACATAGAATAAATCATCCCCATAACCAACAGTACATGTTAAACTAGAAACAAGCCTGCTATTGTATATGATAAATTTTCTCATTAAGAAAGGACATTGAGACAGTTAACTGTTGGGGAATCAAGAACCATTGCCATGTCCACTGAAATGACAACCTCTCCCAGAGTTCAATCAGAATAAATATTTTACAGAACCTCTTACAATGACAGCTTGAGACAACTATAGACAGGTAGTGACAAACTTTTGTTTCCAAATGCTATGGTAGCAAATGCAATAATATCTATTCGCGGCATGAATGCAATAGGAGGGGCTACAGCGTTTACACTGATACCTCCCAGTAATGCAAGGCAATATTGCCAAGCTTCTATCTGGTGGAAGTTCTATGGGACTCAAGAGAGCACTGCTCCAATCTAAAAGATGCCATGGCCGCCATTCTACAGTAGTTATATTTAAAAGTGCATGCATTTCCCCCCACGTGGCACCAAGATGAGCTCCAGGGGAACGTAAAGGCAAAGCAAGTACTACCAGGATTATTTCACCATCTCACCATTCTTCTGGTTTCTTACAACCATTTCTTTTTTAAAAATTCAATACTATGCTGCAATGAACAGGTACAAGTTCTTTATAACAACTCCTCAATATATAATGGTTGTTTTCAATTCTCTCTCTGATAGAAAAGAGAAATTATTGATGACCATAGATTTTATTTGCATTCCCACCCCTGCACTGAGAATGACTTCAGAACGGTAAGCTCATTGACTATAGTGAAGCTATTCTAATAAGCAGTATCAAAGATCTATAAAACAAGGCTCAACCTAAATGCCAGCTCATAAAAACGTCTTGTGCAAATATATCACTGAGCCAATACCACTGTAATCTCACTTAAAAATTGTGCATCTAAACATCTTGAGTTAGCACTATAGGCCCTAATTTCTGTCTATTTATATATCAGGACTGTGCTTCGGTAACATCCATGGTGGTGTGCTGGACTCGATGGGCAAAAACGTATAATCACAGTAATGGATTGTATCCAGACTGAATTGGCAACTTCCACTGGTTCCCCATTCCCACTGCAGACCCCCTTCACATTGTTCCTCAGAGTCTCCTATCCTGCAGAAGCATCATTTGATAGAGATCAGGAAACTAGATGGAGGGAGCAAGCAGGTAATTCCACTCCAGTAATTGAGTCAGTCTCGAACCAACCCAGTGTTTCAGCATTAACACAACAACAGCATGTGCTAGATTTGCTTGGCTTTACTCTCATTTGCATGGAACGTCCTCCCTCCCTCGCCATACAAGTGATGTGCTCTTGCAGTGTAAACTGCTCTGAAAATACAGCAACCTAAGAAGCACTTTGGAGCACAAGAAGGGAGGCAGGGAGCATTTCTTTAATAATAGTATTAACAGGTAGAGAGAAGTAGATGAGACATATCCTTCAGGTTGCCTATTTAAAGCTAAAGTATACTAAACGTTTAAAAGGGAAACCAGCGTAACACTGAAGAAGTGAGCAGTGACTCACGAAAGCTCATACCCTGCCACATATTTACTTAGCCTTGAAGGTGCTACTGGACTCTTGCTCTTTTCTACAGCATAACCCTGTCCTATACCAGGTTACCTACGCTTGAATGAAGCGATTCCATTCAGAAACTATGAACACAGGCATGATCAGCAGTTTCGCTCCACATGATGAAGAGGTCCAAAGTCCAAACTATGGCCCTGCCACAGTTGTGTGACGCAGCCATATTGCTTGACTGCTTTCATAAATAAGCCCTGCCTCCTGTAGGAATCATATGCTCATTTGTTTAAGCTGGGAAACCAAGTTCAGAAGCTTTTGGCTTACCGGATAAAGGTATTCGACATCTCAGTCCAGTCTACATGCATGTTAGAAGCTGGAACCTGTTATGCTCAATAAATAAATGAACGTCATAGAAAATGAAGGATAGAATGACGATAAAATCTGCTTAAGGTTCCCTCATTGGGGAGACAAGGGGAGGTATAAATATTTAAATTCAACATGTATTAACATAATTTATATTACATATTTTAACCTCTTTAAAGTTTCATGGTTAGTTTCAATACCTTTTTCCAACGTATTTTACCTACATGCATGTAGGTTAGAGATGCACACACCATCATGTGCAGACAGCACATACTCTACTGTACACTGAATGGCCATAATGCCTAGCATGTTGCCATCGTAAGTACATGTCCCAAGAAAGAAATGCATATGTACTCACCTAGCTGAATGGCCCTCATTTCATTCAAGTTAGGTTCTTATTGAATTATGACTAGCACAGCATCATAAATTTTAAATGGTCATTGCTTCCCATTTGCCCGGAACTCTTCTTAGCGAGCATGAGAATTTCTATTGCAAACCTCACAAAATAGATGGCAGATTGCATCCTGGAACTGACCATCCCCAGTTGTGAATACACAACCACAAATAAATTTTAAAAGATATTATACCACATCCATTCACTTACTGGGTATGTAGTCCCAGCTACTTTAAGAGTGTTATTAGATTGGTGGCAAGATCCTACAACTCCGGCAATACATCGGGAACTTATAACAGAGCTGTGATAGCTGCTAACTGGAAAAACAAAAATCCTCCATCAATTAAGCACTGGTGTAACAGGCTACAGGACCCCTTTTTGATGTAAAAAAATTCTAATCTAATCACTCTTATCTGAAGCATACTGTCCCAACTAATTTCATTGAATGCTGGCTCCCGGTTTCGGAATCTTTGGCAAACACCGACGAGTTCAATACTGCTCATCTTGCTAATAGTTTCTATAGCTTTCTTGCATACTCCTAGTAAATCACATAAGCTATACTTTGACTACAACCAATGTCTTTTAGGGTGTTATTTATGAATGTTTTATTCTCGTTGAATAAGGGCTTTTAAGTTGATTCTAATAACTCATTGCTATACGACCTGCAGACATGCCATAAGGTAAAGGTAAAGGTTCCCTTGCTTGAAAGCCAGTCGAATCCGACTCTAGGGTTGCGGTGCTCATCTCCGTTTCCAAGCCGAAGAGCCAGCGCTGTCCGAAGACGTTTCCGTGGTCATGTGGCCGGCATGACTAAACACAGAGGCGCACGGAACGCTGTTACCTTCCCACTGGAGTGGTACCTATTTATCTACTTGCAATTTCTTGCTTTTGAACTGCTAGGTTGGCAGGAGCTGGAACTAGAAACGGGAGCTCACTCCGTCATGCGGCACCCGGGTCTCGAACTGCTGAACTACTGACCTTCCACAGCCTGCAGTTCAGTGTCTTAACCACTTGAGCCACCGCCATATATGTTTACTATTGGCACTTTGTATTTGTCTTCATCGTTCTCACTGTTGCAGTGCTTCGTTAAAAAAAGAAAAGAAAAATCTAATAAATAAAATTGGAGGGAGGGACCGTTTTCCATACTGCATCCCCAACTCTTACATCCATCTTTCTCCTAATTCAATGACCTTTGCACCGGGAAGGCTCATCTAAATCAAGAACGTGAGATTTACAAACCCCTCCACACCATCTTCTGATCACAATCTGACTAATGGTGCCTCAGTGGTATATGGGGCATATAACTGAATGTTTCCTGAGCCTGTGTATGACTCCACAAGTATTTCCAAAAAGACACACAAAGACAAGAAGGGGCTGGGCAATGAAAGAGACAGTAACACAGAACTGAGAATATAGCATTTGATAAATGCTTGCGAATGATCTTCCCCTGGCCTCTTCCTTTCTCACAAATTTTGCAAGTGCCTGAGAAAAAGAAGCCCAACTCTGCTAACTGCTGCTACCAGTCTACCTTCCCTCCGCATTGGCCTCTCTTTCCCCTCCTCCTTACTGCCATTTCTAGTTCACACCATTTGCTATAACAGACATGGAAATGTTTACACTAGAACTCAGATACCCAGTAAGAGTTTGATGCAATCTCTGAGCTATCAGGTGGAAGTGCTTTGGAACAGGATCAAAAACAGAATGTGTATGTGTATGTGTGTGTGGGTGGGGGGGGCAGTTCTTTCTTCTCAAGGCCTGGTAATATGATGCTTAAGGGCCTTGATAAGGTTGACTTCAGAGCACTGTATCTTTACAAAGCATTCTTTAGAACACCCCTCCCACTACCTGACTGGGATAAAAAGACCCAGATCTCCATTCCCATTCAAGTATGACTCCCAAAAGATTATATCTTGAAAATCATGTTAGTCTCTAGGGTATTACTGGACTCAAATGTAACCGCTCAGAGTTCTGAGATTCTTAAGTCCCACCCATTCACTGCTCTGAATCCAGAAGGCTATTGTGTGTCACTATAACTCAAATCCTTACAGACAATTTAGTGTCTAAGGGGAGTAGATTCCCAGACAAACAGAAAGAGGTATGTCCATTCCAGCCAGAGGCCAATCCTCACATCATGAGGGCTCAGACCTGTGCTCTCTTTTCCCATTGTAGCCTGGTCCTTACAGCCGCAGAGCACAGATGCTCAGAAAGCCGGGTGGGACAAAAATCACTGGAGCTGCTAGAAGAAGAATCAAGAGCCTGACCAAATGGCGAGTGGCTGAGCAGGGGAGGGGGGAATCCATGGCAATGCAGAACTGAACGCCGCCGTGTGCAAGTTGAATTGTCACTGTAAGGCACTTGTGGCATTAGAAACTGTTGGTACAATGAGTTCCAAAAGAGCCTCGTAGGTCCCCACCACAAATCCAATAAAGCCCACGAGACTGATCACCACATCTTTGACCACGGTAGCGGGATGCATGCCTTCAGAGTAGTAGGTGGAAATCTCCAGAAGGGGTGGAATGATCAGAGCTAGTGCACTGCTGCTCACTGAACCCACCAGGGAGATGACAATGTCCAGCCGAGGAATCAGAATTGCTAGGAGACCTGAGGGATAAATGGGATACATTGGTGATGACAGGTGTCTAACCCAGAACATAAGATTCCTAGCTAAACAATAGGTTATGACAGAATGATTAGAGCAGTGATCCCCCACATGGCTCCCTTGGACAACGTGCCACGCACTGATGTACTCCCCCAAAACAAAGAGCCAATTGAGGCTTTTCTGTACCTCACTGGAGCACAATACTTAAGAAGATCCCAGGAGGCACTGACTCTTGGCTGTGCAAAGGAACACCCATTCCAAAACAGCTGCCTCAATCACAGGAGGACATTTGGGCTGGCTTGGGACCTCCCAACCTTTTGTAACTGTTCCCAACAGCTATTTTGTAGTGTTGCCCACTAACCTGTCTCAAAACTCTAGAACTAGGCACAGGGTTAACAAGGTTGGGGACCCCTGCAATAGAGCACCATCCCGCCCCCCGGTCCATAATTGGCTTCCCTTGGGCTGAGATTAACATAGAGAAACTCAGCTGTTCATGTATGAGGTGTAAACCAGGCTGCCCTTTTTTCCAGAAAAATCAAGAGTGCTAATGATAGTTGACGATGGCTTTAGGGCTCCACTTTAAGCCTCACACTTCAGCGATGCCGCCTCAAACTCTAAATTTTCATTAGTTATAATCAAATAGCTTTTGATCCATCTTTGTGAGAGAGGAGTTTGGGGCCCCTGGATGTCTTTCCCCCCGTAACTGTTCACCTTCGGAGGTTCATATGCAATACCAATTTCCATATGGAGAGATATACAGAGTGTGAGGTTCCCCTTTAGGTACCATCAGTACAATCGTATGCAATAAATTCTGTGGAAAACTAGCGGAACAGAGCCTAGTCCCCATGGGACTTCTACCTTTTTTCTTCTTTCCCACCCCTGGGATGGTCAAAGCACCATCATGACTGGGAAAGCAGTAACATTAAAGTGACTTAATAGGTGGGTAGCCTCTGTGCAGAACGCTACCTGAATTCCCTACGAATGGCAGACTATGCTTTGAAGAGGCGTCCATTTCTTCCCCACTACTCAATCAAGAATAAGCCCCTTTTTGGTTAGGTAGACTAATAGGGAGTTCCCTCTCTCCCCATTAGAAGGGAGGAAAAAGTTCCTCTCGGATCCATAGGATGATGAAGGAAAATCACTGGCGATTGCCCCTGCTTATCTGGGACAAATGCAGACATTAAAATGGGGCACACAACAGTTGACTTTATAAGAGATTATTTATAAAAGCCACGGTGAAGATACAGAGAAAATCCCAAGTGTCAAACAAAACATAAATGTAGCAGCCAAGGCAAGAGCAACATGCAGCAGAGAAGAAGGAACAGTAGCCATTGATTTCAGTGGGTAGGTGCTGAAGTGATAAGGATGAGGAGGAAAGCATCAAGGTGATACTGTCCAAAACACTAGCACGTGTCTTGATGGCCGTGAGACGCTCATTCGAACTACAGTGAGGACATGTCTAACCCACTTGAAAAGCCACAGGAAAAACATAGCTAAATGTCATGACAGAAGTGCTGATAGTTGACTAATTTGAATTATAATTCACTAGCCTGGCATCACTGTGCTGTGCATAGGATTACCATTTGTGGCACAAGAATGAGATGCTTGTGGCATTACCAATCGGCGGAATGAAAGATTTGCTTTGAAAATTGAATGATTTGTGATCTGGTCAATAACTGGGCCACAGTGACAAACGAAAGAGGAAAAATTATTTTGTGCAATGCACCCAGCTCCACACCACCCACTTCATTCTGAATTATAATGCAATTCCAAAACAAAATCTCTCCCCAAATAGTTTGTGCTACTCTGAGACTGACACAGCTACAATGGCTACTGTAAACTACCAATGCGTAATTTAAAACAAAAAAAAAATTGGTCAGAATAATGGCTCATTCACAGCCCCCTCAGTTACTCTGCTGAAATCAAAAAGGCTGTAGCAAGTTACAGAAGGGAACAGCCTGCATTACATTAGAGGGAGTCCTTGGAAAGCAGTGGTTAGAAAAGAGAAAGGACCACTTTCTACATGTTGATCTTCAGCTATGGAGCAGGCGAAAGGACCAGCTCCAACATGCATACAACACTCACACCTTCAACTGAAGGCTGGATGCAGGCAAAGGTAACATGAAAGGCACATCAGGAGAATCCCAGAAAATGATGGCTGCACAGAGCAGCAGGGGACTAGAGACAACTATACCCATTTTTAAGCAACCCGGGCACATACATTAAGCCATTGATCTTTATTTCCCACACATTTGCTTCCCTTTGCCATGTCTACCAAAAGGCCAAAGAAATTCCAAATTATGACAGAACTGCACATTTATAATATATGGATGTTGCTTGGACTGGATCATAAGGACCACATCACCCTAGCCTTGGTTCATAGAGGCCCCTGCCACACGGGACGGCTGAAACGCGGCTACTCAGAGCCGCTCCAAACTTGAGACGCCGCGGCGGGATCCCCTGAGCCGCGGCGCATCGCTCCCCGGCACGATCAGATGCCGGGGAGGAAAAGTCCAATGGGAGGGAGAGGCTGCTGAACTGCGCATGCTCAAGCATGCGCAGTTCGCCCGGGGGCCGGGATGCAGCGGCGCAAGGACGCGCCGCCGATTCCACAGCCCGGCTTTAGGCGCTCCAATGGATGCAACCACCTAGATAGGTGGTTCTTTTTTACGGCGCGGTATTGGCATTTGGGACGGATCAGGGACGGAGACGGCACGCTCCCCAGATGTTGAGGTGGGATCGCGCCCGCTTGCTCCGCCCCCGTTCCGTCCCGCTCCCGGCCCAAATGGGCTCGTATGGACAGGGCCTTAGAGTGGTTTCCAATTCGCTTCTGGGCCCAATTCAAGAAGCTGGTACCTTTAAAACCCTATATGATCTGGTGAGAAGAGTCTTGAGAGTCCCTTGGACTGCAAGAAGATCAAATCAGTCAATCCTAAAAGAAATCAACCCTGACTGTTCCCTGGAAGGCCAGATAATGAAACTGAAGCTCAAATACTTTGGCCACCAAATGAGAAGGGAGCACTCACTGGAGAAGACCCTGATGCTGGGAAAGATTGAAGGTCAAAGAAGACGGGGATGGCAAAGGATGAGATGGTTAGACAGTGTCATAGATGCAACGAACATGAAGTTGAGCAAACTTCAGAGGACGGCGGAAGACCGGAAGGCCTGGTGTGATCTGGTCCATGGGGTCGCGAAGAGTCGGACTCGACTGTGCGACTGAACAACAACAACAACAAAAACAAACATACCTGAAGGACTGTCTATCCCTTTATGAACCTACCCAAATGCTATATATCTCTTTGGAGATCCTGCTTTGGGTACCCCTGCTTTCTAAGATTACACAGGCAGCAATCTGGGAGAGGGCCTTCTCAGTAGTAGCAGCACCAAAACAATGGAACTCTCTCCCCAGGGAGATGCATTTGTCCCCTTGTGTTGCCATCTTCTACCAAAGTGTGGAGCCCTTTTTTTGTTTCCTTTGGTGTTCCCTTAGTGATCCCTCCTTCCGGCCCAATGTTTTAATTGCTGTTATATGCCTGTATGTATCTTAGCTCTGTTTTTTTTTAAAACAATTTGTTTTGGTTGGTTTTAATGGTTTTTAAGATGTGATTTCATTAGGTATGTTTTTAATTTGTTAGCCACCCTGGTGGCCTTTATGAGGGCAGAACGGGAGGAGTATAAGTTTTGTAAACTAAATTTTCAAAACAAACAGATATGCCCTTCCCCTCTTAACCTTGGCTTACACCAGTGACCCTAAATCACTTTGCCCTCAGGTACTCCCTAGCTAGGATGAGGACTACAGCCTCGCTGACTAAAAGAGTAATTCTGCAGCCCAATATTTTTGTGGCATTTAGTGGCTTAGAAAACATCTAATATAAAGGAAGTGGTAGAGAAAGGAAAGAGGAATTCTGTACAATGACGCCAGCGTTGTCAACAAGGAAAGTAGGGCATGTCAAAAAGAATAACAATAATGACTAAGAAAAGAGAAAATTGGTTTATATCCTTTAAAAATATCACTCTTTTGTGCATGTGCTTTTACCAGCGGGCTGCTCCTTTTTGCAATCTGTACCAAGTTCATATTTTGAAGAAGCCTGGCACATCAGAACAAACAAAATAGATTTGGAAAGCCAGGTATACTATAGCCTGTTTTTGTAATGAAGGTCACTGCCCCCCCCCAAAAAAAAAATCCCATCAAAACAAAAATGAAATATTTGCAACACAAAACCCAGATTGTGCTCGGGAGAAAACCTTGTTTAGATTGCCTGGGGAAACAGCAGTTAGAAATTCTCTATGAAGTCCGGGGAAATTAATGAAGCTACTTTTTGTTCAACATTGAAAGACTTCCAGTATGATAGTACTTCTCATAAATCTTTTCTCAGCTTAGCTGCACCAAAGAACAAGAGAGTTACAAAACAAGTTGCTCATGCCTGCATATTGGAAATGCATTTTACAGTTTGTGCATCTCATGACAAAATCTGGTGTCTTGAGAGAAGAAAAAAAAGTCAGAAATTCAATGTTGTAGTTGTTAGCCATTCTTTTTTTATATAATTTTTTAATCATTTTCTTCCTACAAACACTACAACACTACAAAACACTAAAACACTAAACTAAAAGATAAGCTACACAAGGATCAATCAATATGGAGACTTCTGGCGAAGGGACCCTGGCCATGGAACTTTTAAGAGGTTGCCTCTTTGACGGCGGAATGCCGGAGAATTGAGGCGCCTCTTCATTCTGATGGTTCTCCGTGCTGTGAGACCGAATGGACTTAGTCACGCTGACCGGGGCAAGCGTAGGAGATCGAGCGGCAGAATTGAAAGTTGAAAGCGAGGTCGAACGACCAATTATGAACATGAGTCAGTTTTGAAGCGTTTTTTAAAGGGAAAAAGATCGCTCCCCACCCCACCCCACCAAACGGGGAAAAGGCG